TGGGCCTGGGCGCTGTCCCTCAGCTTTTCAGCTCAAGGCTAGCGCTCTACCACTTGAGCCACAGCGCCACTTCCGGCTTTTTTCTTTTTGTTTATGAGGAATCGAACCTAGGGACTCATGCATGCAAGGCAGGTGCTCTACCACTGAGCCACCTTCCTAGCCCCAGCAAAACTTTTTTTTTTCTTTTTGCTTATGTGGTGCTGAGGAATTGAACCCAGGGCCTCAGGCATGCAAGACAAGCACTTTACCACTGAGCCACCTTCCCAGCCCTTTGCTCATTTTTAACCTGTAATGAAGTACAGATTTGTTAAGACTCAATGTATAGAATGTCCGTCTTTCTTTCTCTCTCAGTTGTGGGTATTGAACTATGGGTGTGAGCACTATCTCTGAGCTCTTCAGCTCAAGGCAAGTGCTCTACCACTTGAGCCACACCACTTCTGGTTTTCTGATGGTTAATTGGAGATAAGTGTCTTGTGGACTCTCTTTGTCTAGGCTGGCTTTGAACCACAATCCTCAGATCTCAGCTTTTTGAGTAGTTAGGATTACAGGCGTGAGCCACCAGGGTCTGGCTGTATTTCTTTTCCTTTTTTTTTTGTCAGCCGTGGGGCTTGAACTCTGGGCCTGGGCGCTGTTCCTGCGCTCTTCAACTCAAGGCGAGCACTCTACCACTTGAGCAATAGTGCCACTTCCGGCTTTCTAGTGGTTTATTAGAGATAAGAGTCTCATGGACTTTCCTGCCTGGGCTGGCTTTGAACCATGATCCTCAGATCTCAGCCTCCCCTCCTGAGTGTCTAGGATCACATGTATTTCATTTTTGACAGTACTAGGGTTTGAACTAAGTAAGGGCCTCATACTTGCCAGGTGGGTACTCTACTACAGCCATTTTGCTTTATTTACTAAAGCACACTTTGCTTTATTTTTCATGTAGTATGCTGAATTTTTATCCAGGGGTAGCTTCAGATCTCAATCCTCTTACTTAGCTAGGATATTGCTTTCTCCTGGCCGTAAACCAGTATCATCCTAATCTCTACCTTTCAAGTAGCTGGGACTGCAGGCATGTACCACCACTCCAAGTCACCTATGAAATATCAATAGGAGTACACCTGTTTTAAATAAAGCCACTGTAGTAATTTTTTGAGTTGTATTTCTTTACACGTTTATCAAATCAAAAGATTCTGCTTCAAAATTATTAAACAGGCTGAAGACACTAACAAAACTGACCTCTTTTTTTTTTGGGTCTGGTCGTGGGGTCTGAACTCTGGGCCTGGGCACTATCCCTCAGTTCTTCAGCTCAAGGCTAGCGCTCTACCACTTGAGCCAGTGCCACTTACATCTCTTTTCTTTTTGCTTATGTGGTGCTGAGGAATTGAACCCGGGGCCTCATGCATGCAAGGCAAGCGCTCTACCACTGAGCCACCTTCCCAGCCCCCAAAAATGACCTCTTAACCTTTATCCGACAATTAAATTGGTGGAGAAATCTTTAGGCTGTCAGGCTACACCCATATCCCACAAAAATTTACTTGATAAAATAAGCCTATATAACAATTCATTATGTCTTCTGACATAATGTACTACTTAGCAATCAGAAGTAGCCTATGCAAACACGCTTAATACAACATATATGAGTAATAAATATTAAGTATAGCATCATCACCTTCTTCCATTTTTCTGAGGTGTAGCACAATAAGGTTAGAGATTCGGCAATACTCAGAGAAGCCCAGCCTTAAGGAGGGTTTGGGAACAGACTCTTGATGTACATCTTCGCTGTAGCCATTAATTCCATTCACGGGGGCAGGGCTGTCAGCATGACCTGTGTGAAAAGTTAACCATTTGTTTCTGTGCTTTAGTATCCACTTACCAAGTGTTTCTAAATGTACTGTTTATATTTAATACAAATTTCAGAAAGGTAAAACATAAGATTTTTACAAATAAATTAGAAGCCAATTTATCAACTCTACTAGCAAAAACAACTACATTGGGAGAAATGAGGGTTGGGATTTCATAATATTAAATCCATTTGCAGTAAGTATGACGTACTAAACAAAAAATTCTAGTATATTTGAAAATGTTTATAATTCAAGAATGAAATACTACAAAAAAGTGTGTTGGTCAAAGGACTTAAGTCTACTACCCCATTTTGGTATACTTATCTTTCAAGCACATATATTTTATATAAACTAACTATACTTTAATTAGTTTCACTTTTTAAAATTATGCTTTCTCAATATCCATTATTTTCTTTCACTATAGTCACCTCATAACTATTAATAAGTTCATTTGAACCACAAGACATTACAAAAAACTGCGGTCCCTAACTCCAGAACAATCAGAAATAAACATCTTACCATTGATGCCTCCTGGACCCTCATCTACCTCCATTTGGGTCTCTTCCTCTTGATCTAGATTGACATCAGGTGTTTCAACCCGAATGATTGATTTATTCAGTAACCGAAAGGCTTCCTTCACATGCTTAGGTTGGACCTAAACCAGTAATAAGGCAATTCAGTCACTGTTGATAGGCCAATAAAATCACATACAACAAATTTACTAGAATGGATAACATGACTGACAATATCATGTGTTGGCAAGAATGAAGAAATTCTCTGCAAGCAAAACTATGAATGTATATAATTTTTTTTTTAAATTCTAGAGCTAGAGCCCAGGACTTTATATGTATTAGCAAGTATTCCACCACTAACTTGGTTTTCTAAGATGGTGACCTTGAAGGGTCCTCCTGCCTCTTCCTTTAAGTGCTGGGATAATAGGCATGTCATACCATGTCTAGATATAATAAACTTAGTGTTATACTAATAAAAATACCAAGCTTACCCAGGAGTCAGTGGCTCAAACCTGTAATCCTCACTACTCAGGAGGCTGAGATCTGAGGATTACAGTTTTAAGCCAGCCTTATCAGGAGACTCTTATCTCCAATTAAACACCAAAAAGCTGGAAGTGGTGGTGTGACTCAAGGGGTAGAGCAATAACCTCGTAAAGAAAAAGTTCAGAAAGGGCTGGGAAGGTGGCTCAGTGGTAGAGCGCTTGCCTTGCATGCATGAGGTTCAATTCCTCAGCACCACATAAGCAAAAAGAAAAAAGCCGGAAGTGGAGCTGTGGCCCAAGTGGTAGAGCATTAGCCTTGAGCTTAAAAGAGCTGAGGGACAGCCCTCAGGCCCAGAGTTTAGGCCCCACAACCAGACCTTTCCCTCCAAAAAAGTTCAGAAGCTGGGAGCAAGTGGCTCATGACACTGGCTACTCAGCTACTCAGGAGGCTGAGATCTAAGGATCAGCTAGCTTGGTCAGGAAGGGCCGTGAGACTTATCTCCAATAAACCACCCAGAAAACTGGAAGTGGTACTGTAGCTCAAGTGGTAGAGCGCTAGCCTTGAGCTGAAGAGCTCCCGGAGAGTACCCAGGCACAGAATTCAAGCCTCAGAAGAGAAAGAGAAAGAGAGAGACTTTCTACAGCAACTGTACAGATTATTCTTTGGATCATTATGATCTGGGATCTCAGTTGTCCCCAACAACAGAAAGCAAGCTCAAGATTTTTGATCCAGTCCTGTACCATATGCCAGCAGGTACTCGCCAAAGACAGACTGCAACTTAAGCAGATTTCAGTGTTTCAAGTCCTTGAGGAATCAATGATAGGTAGCAGTTAGATGTGAATAGTGATATGGAAATAGAACTTAGAGAGTCCTTTTTTTTTTTTTGTTGGTCAGTCATGGGCCTGAACTCTGGGCCTGGGCGTTGTCCCTCAGCTCTTCAGCTCAAGGCTAGCACTCTACCACTTGAGCCATAGCGCCACTTCCAGCTTTTTCTGCTTATGTGGTGCTGAGGAATTGAACCTAGGGCCTTATGCATGCAAGGCAAGCACTCTACCACTGAGCCACCTTCCCAGTCCAAAGAGTACTTTAAAAAAAAAAAAATTATTTGTCGGTTGTGGGACTTGAACTCCAGGCCTGGGCACTGTCCCGAGCTCTTCAGCTCAAGGCTAGTGCTCTACCACTTGAGCCACCGTACCACTTTCAGCCTTTTCTGTTTATGTGGTGCTGAGGAATCAAACCCAGGGCCTCATGCATGCGAGGCAAGCACTCTATCGCTGACCCACCTTCCTAGCCCCAAGTTCTTGTTTTAAGTGTATATATGCTGAGAGATCTCTCAGAGCCTACTTGCTTGAACTTTTACCCATAAGGAGAAAACCTAATGTGCTTGGTAAGAGAAGACATGATCTCGGTCTCAAGTTCTAACACACACATACACATGTATGCACTTGCACACACACAAGAACAAAAAAAAAATCTTACTTCTGACTTAAACATATAAAAGCTACTTTTATTGAAGCAGATGAGGGACTTTTATAATCCCTTTTCCCCTTAATCCTCACTGACATATGCCTGTAAAACTCTTAGTTCAAAGAACAATTTAAAAACCATGCAACTTTTTCATGCTGCACTATTCACAATAGCCAAGTTACTGAAACACCCAGCTGCCCTAAAACAGATGAGTGGATCAATAAAATGTGGTACATATACAAAACAGAATTTTAATGACCTATTACAAAGAATAAGATTATGTCATTTGAAGGAAAATGGATGGTCTTAGAGTAAATCATACTAAATAAGGTAAGCCAAGCTCAGAGAGACAAACAGCACAGGTTTTCTCCCATATGTGGAAGCTAGATATAAAAATCTGAACATAACCTATACAGGATACTATGCATTCATACACAGCTTGAACGATATCCCTGGGGAAGAACCCGAAGGAGTAACTTCTCTGAGCATTTAAAATACTATTTACTGATATGATTTCCAGGAAATGGCAATTTACTTTGTTGTTGTTGGTATGTGTTTTTGCTTTTTTTTTTGGGGGGGGGGAGAGAACAGGGAAACGCAAAGGGGTATGCAGAAAGGGAAGAAGGGTGAACAAACGCAATCATGCTATTGAGTGTATGCTATGTGAAAAATGAACTATGTAACTAATTTGTGGGAGGGATGAGACGGGAAACTGGAAGAAAGCAAAGGAAGGAGTAACACTGTCCCAAAAAAGTTATGTACTCATTACATCATTTATGAAATGGTAACCCCTCTGTATGACACCTTAATAATAAAATTATATTAAAAATAAAATAAAAATCATAGAGCTGAACAGAATGCTGTTGTCCATCTCCTATCAGTCAGGAGACTGAGTACAAGATGTTCAGTTCTAGGCCAGCCTGGGCTGCATAGCAAGACCAAATCTCAGACAAACAACAAAAATCCAACCAACCAATCCACCTCCAGGCTGCAGGTACAGCTCAGGTTCACTGTGTGCTTAACAGGTACAGGTCCTGGATCCAATCCTCATCACACATAAAAACAATAACTCAAATACATTGTATTATAACAAACTCAATGAAAGGTTTGAGTTCTGAAGTTACATTATCATAGTTATCAATTTGTATTCAGGCTAAAGGCCTAGCACACTATAGGGTCTGATTACATTTTTTAACTGAATAAATGGTAACTAAACTCTACAGACACTCTTACTGTAATGATTATCTTATTACATCTGATACAGCTAATATACTCAAAAATGCTTGACAAAAACCCACTTGAAGGAAATATGTCATATATCCTGTGAGCATTCAACAGTTTCATACAAACCATCTATGACTAAGTATAGAATGTTCCATATCAAAGATATAAAACATGCCTACAAACCAACAAACCAATTTCTCTTCATTCTCATCAGGTCAAAGTGACTTTGATACCTCATCACAGCAGTGCATCCGAGCCATAGCTTCAGAGAGACGGATCATGCTCTCAAGCTGTCGCACTGTAATCCTCCATGAAGACTTGGTTACTCCAGAACCATCCCTCTGGCGGAGGCGTTTATACTGTTCCACAATGAAGTCCTGTGACTCTTTGGAAATCTGTTTCAAAACAGCAATGAAGCTAGAGAAACATTTCTACCCCAGGACAGCTGCATTAAATGTAAGAGTATAATAGATGGAAATTTTTTTTTTCTGTGGGTCGTGGGGCTTGAACTCAGTCTGGGTGTTGTCCCCAAGTTCTTCAGCTCAAGGCAAGCGCTCTACCAATTGAGGCACAACGCCACTTCGAGTTTTTTGGTGGTTAAGTAGATAAGAGTCTCACAGACTTTCCTGTCTAGGCTGGCTTTAAACCACGATCCTCAGATCTCTGTCTCCTTGAGAAGCTAGGATTACGGACATGAGCCACTGACACCGGGCTCAGATGGAAATATTTTGAGGAACTGAAAAGGCTGAAACTTCCGAGGCCACTGAACAATGAATTCTACAGAGATGCCTTTGAAAATAAATTATTATTAGAGAGGTCTATGAATTTTATGTAGCAAATTTGTGAATATGAAGACAGCAGACTTACTATTCAAGCCAACCGTCCATTTTTTAAAATAATTTTTTGAGATTAGGTGATTACATAAATTTCACAGTATTGTGGAATAGTGATACTTAAAAGTCATATTTTAATCTTTACAAGGCAAATTGTCTTTGGTCTATAGTTTGTGTATTCCACCGGGCGCTGGGGGCTCATGCCTGTAATCCTAGCTACTCAGGAGGTTGAGAGCTGAGGATCGAGGTTCAAAGCCAGCCCGGGCGGGAAAGTCCGTGAGACTCTTTTTTTTTGGGTGGGGGGTCCGGTCATGGGGTCTGATCTCTGGGTGATGTCCCTCAGCTCTTCTGCTCAAGCACCACTTCTGGCTTTTTTCTTTTTGCTTATGTGGTGCTGAGGAATTGAACCCAGGGCCTTGTGCATGCAAGGCAAGCGCTCTACCACTGAGCCACCTTCACAGCCCGCTGTGAGACTCTTATCTCTAATAAACACTAGAAAACGGGAAGTGGTGCTGTGGCTCAAGCTGTGGCTCCCCTTGAGCTGAAGAGCTGAGGGACAGTACCCAAGCACAGAGTTCAAGCCCCATGCCCGACCGAAAAAAAAAAGTTTGTGAATTCTCTGAGCCTTGACAACTATTTCTTCCACATCAGGTGACATTAACATTTCCTTCTTTTCGCTTAGTGTAAGCTGTTCCCTCTTACCCTCTCATCCTCTCCCTCCCATTGCTGCCTTTGAGTTGCTTAGTTCCTTTGCATCAATATCTAGTGCAGCTGATGGGCCCCTCTGTTGTATGTTTTCCCATTTCCTCTGATTCTGTGTCCTCCTCTTAGCTTCCCTCAGATGTGCCAAGAACATGGAGTCATTTAGCAATGATATGACAAAGTGAGTGGAAGTCCTGTTTCTTGAGTCTTGTTTACTTTGTTATATCTCCTTGCATTTTGGCTTTAGCATCCACATATCAAGCTTATCTCGCTCAATATGATTTGCTATAGTTCCATCCATTTCCCAGCAAATGCCATTATTTTGTTTTAATGGCTTCATAATATTCCACTGTATATAGGTACCACAATTTTTGGATCCACTCATCAGTAGTAGGACATCTGGGTTGTTTCCATATTTTGGCTGTTGTGAACAGTGCTGCAATGAACATGGAGGTGCATGTGTCTTTGTATACTGGTTCTTGTTGCGCGGGGTAGATGCCTAGGCATGGTATGGCTGGGTCACAGGGGAGGTCTATATTTAGCTTTCTGAGGTACCTCCAGACTGCTTTCTAAAGTGGTTGTATTAGTATACATTACTACCAGCAATGCAGTAGGGTCCCAAGGACCATTTCTAAAGGATGTTTAACAACCTGAAGCAATGAAGTAAGAGGTCAAAAATCATTAAGCAAATCAATGCTCAGACTGTTCTTGAAGCTGAATAATTACATGTCCTTAGGAGAAAAAGAAGTGAGCATGTGTGTGTTTATATCTAAAAGATGCTTAGTTTCTCAGAGCAACGAGCTCAACATATTAAGGAAGCATACACACTGGTCACAGATACCAGTATGTACTTATGTCACTATATATCACTACATGTCACTACTTTTTTTTTTTTTTTTTGGTTGGTTGTGGGGCTTGAACTCTGGGCTTGGACACTATCCTTCAGTTCTTCATCTCAAGGCAAGCACTCTACCTCTTGAGTCACAGTGCCACTTCCGATTGTCTAGTGGTTTACTGGAGGTAAGCGTCTCTTGGACTTTCCTACCCAAGCTGGCTTTGAATTGCGATCCTTAGATCTCAGCCTCCTGAGCAGCTAGGATTATAGACGTGAGCCACCAGCACCGGCCATGTCACTACCTTTAACAGTCACTCATAATCTTTGTTTTCTTTTAAAAATGTTACTGGGGTTTGAACTCAAAATGTGGAGCTTGCTAGGGCAGGTGTTTTACCACTTAAGCCACTCTGCCTGCCCTGACTCCTATTTTACTATTTTACAATGAAACAGTAGTTCAAATTCACCATAATAGTTCAGGACTCTGTTTTTTTCAGAGAAAGATTTAGGAGCATTTGTTTAATCTATTGATTTAGGCAAGATTCCTAGTAGTAATAGTTGAAATAAAAGGATGTTCAGCCAGACGCCTGTAATCCTAGCTACTCAGGAGGCTGAGATCTGAGGATCATGGTTCAAAGCCAGCCCACGCAGAAAAGACAGTGAGACTCTTATCTCCAATAAACCACTAGAAAACCGGAAGTGGCACTGTGGCTCAAGCGGTAGAGCGCTTGCCTTGAGCTGAAGAGCTGAGGGACAGCGCCCAAGCCCAGAGTTCAAGCCCCATGACAGGCAAAAAA